TGGGCTCATTGCACCACTCTCCATCTTTTCCATCATCCAAGCCCAAGGTAGAATCATATCAATCTGTAGAGAAGGAGTTAAACTCGTGAGTTAAAAAAACTCAATAGATATCATTGGTGTATTCGTGATCAAGCTATATATTTCAAAGCTGTAACTTTAGAAACCTTTTCATAGTAGAATTTTCGGTAGAATCCCAAACACGTAGAGTCATGACTTAACACGACGCCTCGACCGGAAGTACACGTCGTACCCGGAGGTACTATTAGACATGGAGGTGTATGCCGTACCGGAGGTACCATTAGACATACAAACATTAACATAAATCTTCATTTGCTGGAAGCTTATAACTTAACACGAATTAACACTTTGCACCTCTACCTACCTTGATTGATGCTTTGAACCTTGTTGAAAAATGCACTCCTTTGATGTTTAAAAAAAACACTCCGTTGAGAATTGATGTTTGGAAAACACTTCTTGATAGTACCAAAACTTTTAGGAAAAACTAATTTTCTTCCCTCTCCTTTCTCTTTTTTCTAGACTTGAAAACTCTCTCTTTTATGCTTAGAAGCTTTTGTCTTAGTGTGAAAAATATGTATCCATTGGGGCCTATTTATAGGTGAAAATCTCACAACTTAAGGGCAAGTGAAGGGCCTAATACTCATTAATACGGGTGCCATTTATGTGAGAGTTATAGGTTTAAGAAGGTGCTAGAAAATCGTGTAGGAATTTGACTTTTCATATTCCGCATACTTCGGTTGATACTGTACAGCTTTTAGTATTTCTATTATAACTTCTTCTCCCGATATCCGATTGAGGTAATTCAAAGTGCGTTGGAAAGTTAACTCAAAGAGCTACAATTTTTCTTCAGATATCATTTTCAAATCAAATGTTTTCTATGTCGTAAATGGGTCTCAAATGAGACTAAAAATCTGAAGTATACTTTAGCCATCCAATATTCATGTCTTAGTGCCACTAAGGTGTTTAAAATTATTTGGGGTTCTACAAGTTTCATATTACTCCTAGTCAAATAAATCTCAATGCTTGGAGAAAAGCACTCTACTTCTTGTATGTTTGCCTTAGGAGGTGAGTTTCGCTCTCGATTGACCTCTTTAGGTGTATCTTTGAGATGCATGTATTAGCTCAGCGCAATGCGTTCGTCTTTTTTTACCGCTAGGGTTCCATTGTTGTTTCCTAAGTTCAGGAATTCAAATAGTGGTTGAAAATCTCGATTTTTCTTTGCCCGGCCTTCAGCAGGTTGGTTTCCTTTCAATACCAATTGGCGGCACCCTCAAACTCACCTTTTTAATAGTCAAGTAGATGCTTCCTCTACTCTAAAAGCTCAAATAATTCAACAGCTGGTTGATACACCCCCTCTTGCACCTAACTTAGGATTGGTTCTGACCATGAGGAACATGCTGATAATGGGGATGAGTCGTCCTACTGGTAGGCTGCTTACATCGATTTTTATTATTTTTGACTTGAACATATTTCTTATTTGTACCTTTTGGAACTAATATATTTGAGTTTGTGCATGCAGATATGGACTTTGATTTGGACGCGGTGTTGAAGACCCTGCCGGGCGGTGACGAGGGTCTCTCTCCCATTGACGGTAAACTCTTGAGCTTCCCTTCTTAGTTTTGTGTTCTCTCACTCTTTTGTTTTGCTGGCCTGACGAGCCTTACCTTCCATGTAGAGGGATGGAATTTGACCTGGAGGGGACCTTAGACTCCATGCCCGAGCAAGGGCATGGAAGTGATCTTAAGCCATGTCCCGCCCCCTTAAAGAGGAAAAAGATGGTGGCCCAAGAGAAAAGTCCTCAGGTAGCAGGAGAGACTCTCCAACCCTCAGACGAGCCTATCGAGTTTGCTCCTACTCCTAGCCGGGCTCTTCCAGTCGTACGCAGGGGGAGCGTGAGGGTTCTCTTCGGTTATCGGGAGATGGAGGTACTTAAGTCTTTAGTGACACCCACGCGGACCAGGTTGATCGTAGGACGTAGCGCAGACGATATTGAGAGGGTTGCGACAGTCTATCTCCAGAGGGTACGCTTATAATTCTATACATATGTATATACACTTTTTTTTTGCATGGTTATACCACTCGACTCTTATATTGTCTTCTCATCCTTTAGGTGGTGGCCTTCAGACCGGGCTTGCCGAATAGAGTTGTTGCCAGGCCTTAGAGCTGAAGACTCTTGCAGAGGAAAAGAAAAAGGAGGCTCATCACTACAAGAAGAAGATATCTTCCTTGAAGAAATCTCTTGAGACGTCGGAGGCTCGAGCCCACGAGCAGGAGACAGAGAACTACCATTTGCGGTCTGAGTTGGCTCATGCTCAGAAGGAGGCGGTTGAGAGGTATAAGGCCTCTGCTGGGTACACTAGGGACTTGGAGGCATCTGTTGAGCAGTACAAGTCATCATTTGCCATTATCTGTAATAACCACTCTGGGTATGTCAAACTTGCATATGATATTTTTCCAGAAGTATCCTTGCACCTTTGTAGTTGTGATGGTGGCCAAGGGCTCAACCTCCACCCACTTAGTAAAGTAGTCTATGGCGACTAGCAAGAACTTCCTTTGTCACTTAGCTAGGGGCAAAGGCCCTAGGATGTCCATCCCCCATTGGAAGAAGGGACACACCCCAAAAATTGCTGTCTATTGCTCAGCTGGAACATGGATCAAATTTCCATGGCATTGACATGCATCGCACTTCCTCACCAACTCCTTAGCGTCTTCCTTCATACTAGGCCAATAATATCCTTATCAAAGCATTTTGAACTCAAGGGCGATCGTCCCTTGGTGGTTGCCACAAATTTCTGCATGTATCTCGACTAGCACCTCGTGTGCTTCTGTCGACCACAAATATTTCAAATATGGCATTGTGAAACCTCGCTTGTAAAGTAGTCCATCGATGACGGCAAACGAGGCTGCTCGGACTTTTAGCTTTCTTGCTATGAATGCATCTTCCGACAATTTGTTCTTTATGAGATATTCAACCAAAGGGTCCATCCAACTCTCCCTTTGCTCTACATTCACAACATCGACCGCACGTTGGACGTTTGGTCACCGCAAGATTTGCACGCTCGCTGTGCGAGACAGACGTCTGGGGTTTGTGGACGTGAGCTTAGCCAGTGCGTCCGCCCGCTCATTGTCTTTTCGGGGGACCTTTGTTAATTTGAACCTGGTGAACCCCTTCTGCAAGTTTTTGACCTCCATTAAATATGTTGCCATCTTTTCGTCCTTTGCTTCGAATTCTCCCGTCACTTGCCCGATTATCAATTGTGAGTCACTGCAAATCTTTACTGAAGTTACTCCAAGTCTAGCTACCAGTCCTAAACCCGTGATTACTGCCTAATACTCGGCATCATTATTTGTAGCTGGGAATTCAAAACGCAGTGAGTATTCCAACTCTTCACCATTTGGCCCTACCATTATGATCTCCGCCCCGAATCCCTCATTGTTCGAAGATCCATCCACATAAATTTTCCAATCTGCTTGTTCCCCTGGCGGGTGCTCGGGCGGAATGGTGAGCTCAGCGATGAAGTCTACTAGAGCATGTACCTTAATAGCCGTCCTTGGCCTGAATTCAATATCAAACTCACTTAACTCGATTGCCCATTTCAAAATTCTCCCAGAAGTCTCTGGTCGATGTAGGATCTACTTGATAGGTTGATCGGTCATTACTTGCACCGTGTGAGATTGAAAGTAAGGCCTAAGCTTCATAACCGTGACAATTAATGCAAACACTAGCTGCTCGGCCAGGCTGTATCCTACCTCTGCGCCTCTCAATACTTGACTCACATAATAGACCGGTTTTTTGTGCCTTTGCGAACTCTTTCACTAGCACTGCGCTGACTGCCCTTGGTGAGACCGCCAAGTAGAGACACAACACGACCCCGGGGCATGGGCTGGTCAAGATCGGGGGCTCCTGTAATGACTGCTTCAAGCTCCTAAGTGACTCTTCACATTCCCGGGTCCACTCGAAGTTGGAGGAAACCCCTATAGCCTTGAAAAAGTGGTAGCATTTGTCCGCCGCCCGGCTCATGAAACGATTTAAAGCGCTAGCCTCTGGACCTCCTTCCTACTGGTAGGGCTTTTCATTTCTAGGATTGCCTGAATTTTTTCTGGGTTCACTTCGATGCCTCTTTGCGTGATCATGAAGCCTAGGAATTTTCCTCCTGCAGTACCAAAAGCACACTTCTCTGGATTGAACCTTAATTTGTTTTGTCGGGCAACGTCAAACACTTTTTGCAAATAGGCCACATGGTCATCAGCCTTGGCACTCTTGACCACCATATCGTCAACATAAGCATCTACAACATCTCCGATCAAACCATGAAAGACTTTGTTTACCATCCTCTAATAAGTCGCCCCGGCGTTTTTCAAACCGAATGGCATGGCTTTGTAAAAGTACGTGCCAAAGTCTGTGATAAATGACGTCTTCTCTTGGTCGGACTTGGCCATTGAAATTTGATGATACCCGAAAAATGTATCCACAAAGCTGAGCCTTTCATGACCCGATGTAGCGTCTACCAGGTGATCTATCCTGGGAAGCGGGTATAAGTCTTTTGGACATACCTTGTTCAACCTAGTATAATCTATATACATGCGCCATTTTCCGTTTGACTGTTTGCCAACCACTCGGGGTACTGTACCTCTCGAATGAAACCCGCCTGTAGCAATTTTTCTACCTCTGCTCTGGCTGCGACCTGCCTCTCTGGGGCAAGATTTCTTTTTTTCTGCTTCATTGGCTTAGCCCCTGGTAGGACACCGAGAAGGTGCTGCGCGACGGTCGGGCTAATCCCTGGGATATCTTCCGGGCCCCAAGCGAACACGTACAAGTTACTGGCTAGACACTTGGCCAATTTTTCCTTCTCTTCGGATTCCAAACCAGTTCCAACACTAACCTCCCGTCCCTCAGCTATAAAGATTTTTTCAATCATATCGAGAGGCTCGATCCGCCTCCTTGGGAGTTCCACATCCAGCATCATGATTGGTGGTGAGCCTTAGGCCTGTATACTATTCACATAGCATTTTCTTGATGCGTGCTGGTCCCCTCGCACGCTCCTAACTCTTCTGCTAGTTGGGAACTTCATAATTTGATGGTAGGTCGATGGGACAGCGCCAGCTGCGTTTAGCAATGGCCAGCCGTAGATGGTGTTGTAGGCCATGGGGATCTTGACAACCAAGAAATTAGTCACAATCACCACTGTCGCTGGGTATGTGCCTAGCGTAACTGGGAGCTCTACAGTTCCCTCCGGTATTACTCTTGCCCCTTCAAAGCCTTGTAGAGGGGTAGTCACCATCTTCAACTTCTCTGGGGGAATTTTTAGACCTAAGAAGGCATCCCAGGTGAGGACATTTGCCGCACTTCCTCCATCGACAAGCACCCTCTTCACGTCAAAATTTGCTATATCACCTACTATCACTAAGGCATCATCATGGGGATACGTTATACTAATCAAGTCCTCTTCGTCGAAAGTAATGCTCTGGTTGAACTTTGTTTTTTTCTGGATAGAGCAGACCCCTGCGGAACGCGCATAGCTCTTCCTAGTTGAATTCGAGTCGCCACTCGATGCTACTTCCCCAATGATCATGTTTATTACTCCGGCCCTTGGTGGGGGTAGTCCTTCGAGCCTTTGCCTGTCCCTGTCATTTTTTACATACTTAGCCAATAGTCCCCGCCTTAGCAGGCGCTCAATTTCTTCCTTCAACTGTAGACATTCTTCTGTATCATGTCCATGATCTTTGTGAAAAATGGTTGTACTTACTTTGATTTTTCTTGCTGGAGGAAGTGAGCATCGGTTTAGGTCATTCGAACTCTTTCATGTGCTGTATCTCCATTAATAACTTCGTACATGGGATGTTCAAAGGAGTGGGTGCCTTGGCCTCCTTTCGCTTCTGCTTGACCGACCGGTCTTGGGCATAACCCTTGTTCATGCGTTCATTCTTCGGCTTATTCTTATCAGCGTGCCTTCGCTCATCATACGCTTTTCGCTTATGTGTTTCCGTCTCCCATCTGTCCCTGAGATTTTTAGTCACTTTCTCCGCTTCCTCCGCATCGACATACTTATCTCCCTTCTTCAATAGGTCATGCATTGACTCTGGGGGTTTTTGGAGAGTGACATTTTAAAGGCTCGATTTCGCGTTCCGTTCGTCAAGGCAGTAACCACTGCGGACATTTGCAGGTCTTTTATGCCAAGAGTCGTCCGGCTAAACCTAGCCAAGTATTCCTGTAATGACTCGTCTTTCTCCTATATGACTTGCATCAACCCAATGGCTGTCTTCCTCTTCCTCTTGCTGCTTAGGAAGTAAGCCACAAAGCTCCTAGAGAGCTCATCAAACGTCTTGATAGACCATGGGGCCAAGGTTGCTACCTAGTCCTTGGCCTCCCTCCTGAGTGTGGGGGAGAAGGACCAGCACATCACAGCATTCGGGGCCGCATAAAGTCTCATCAAGTCTACAAAGGTCCGCAAGTGGTCAAGCGGATTTGTGACTCCGTCATATGCTTCTATCATGGGCTGCTTGAAGTCTTTAGGCAAGGGGACCTCCATGATCTCAGGGGCGAACGGGTCTTCCTCCAAAATCATCTGCCTCCGCCTATCTTTTCTCTTGGACAGTGCATCATCTATCTTCTGGGCTATGATTTCTTCCATCTTTTGTTCCAGGTCCACCATGGCTTGCAGGGGCTGCTGAGCTACGACCACTGGGGCCCCCGCGCCTCCCGTCCCCTGCAGAGGGATGGGTGGAACAACCGCGGGTGGCGCTTGAGGTGGTTGCTGGTTCGTCGCTTCCGTCGGACTCAATGGAGGGACCGTGTCTCTCTGCGACTGGTTTTGCAAGAGCGCCATCATCGTTGCCATTTGAGTCTCCAAAAAGCTGAATTGACTCTGCGTCACATACTGCGGAGGTGGCGATGGCTCGTGACCCCTTGCAACTGACTCCGACTCCGCCGTATTTCCAACCAAACGAGTATCACTCCTTGTTCGTCTTCTCGACATAGCTTTTTAGTTCAAATGATTCCCACAGACGGCGCTAATGAAATCGTTGTGGAACAATATCCTTCTATCTGCCTGGTGGCGTTCGGCGTTCTCACTACTCCGTCAAGTGTTTGTGACCTGAAAAACGAAGGTGGGGCTTCTTCCCCCGTTTTACCTCTGGCGTGAGAATTAGTTTTTAGACTTGCAATCGAAAATCAGATGGCTAAAAAGAGAGAGAGAGAGCCAACCCCTTACCTGTGTCACATCCGGGGTATTTATAGATATTGGGAGCTGGATAACCGCTGGGCGGTTGTGGTGTCACGTGTCCCACGTTGGCATTCCCACTACCCCACGTTCTGAGTGGGGGGTCTTTAACTTTCCGCCTGGAGGTTGTACCAGTGTTAACTGCCATGAAACCTATTCAATTTACTAGAGGTTTTATGGCTAAGTGTTTGGGTTGGCAATTCCATGCCAGTTGAATGCCTCGCGTAGTGGTAGAGCGCTCCCCGAGGGTATTGGTAGAGCGCCCCTAGGGAGTCGACGACCTTGTGTAGTAGTAGAGCGCTTCGCGTAGTGGTAGAGCACTCTCCGGGGGTATTGGTAGAGCGCCCCTGGGGGGTCGACGGTCTTGCGTAGTGGTAGAGTGCTTCCGAGGGTCGATGGCCTCGCGTCAAAGTGCAGTGATCCATCTTGCTTGTCGTCAAGGGTGGCTTCTTCTACCAACCTATATCATTAGTCTCTGATCCAGCCCACTGGCTATATGTCCTCATAATTCTTTTTCCTATTTATCCATTGAGTTTGAGTTGTCGATGAGGCATATTTATTCCATATGAATATTCAAACTTTGAATTTTCAAAGTTGGAAACTTGTTAATAATCTACTGAATAGCAGCTATAAACATGAACTTAGTTCGATGTGTCATACAAATCAAGCCGTGTGAGGTTGCAACTTTTTGGCAGGTCGACTTGACCATTCGATCTAACAATTCTTTTGTTAATTATATTTAACAACCGATACAATGGCACAAAAAGATTGGATTTGTTTGGTCCATCTCTTCTTAGGGTTTACTAGATGCGACATAATTCATATCTCCCAATGAACTAACTAAAGAAGAGTCGAATTCTGCTAAATCTTTATGATACATCTAAATTTTGGTATAATTTTTTTCCACAAGGTGTTCCATCAAACTACTCAAAAATGAATACAAGATAGAAATTAAAAAGACAAAAGTATTATTTGGTTGACTTAACTATTTTCTTCTTTAATGAATATCGGAAAATTTTCTAACTCTCTCTTCCTTTATTCTTTATTTTCCTCCATCTCTATAGATAACGTTTAAACCCATTTTACCTTCTTTTATAGAAAATACATGTTAATAGCATGACTACGCACAATCGAGGAAAATATTTCCTTTAATAAGAATTTGTTGGTCATTAATATTTCCAATTTTAGAGAGCCAAACACATTCTCTATTCTTAATATGCAATGATTTCATTTAATACATTACAAATTTGAATACTCTACAATTTAAAATTTTAAAATTACATTTGAATTAATTGGTCATTAATATATAAAAAATTATACTTAAATAAAATATGTGGAGAGATTATTAAATGTTCATTGGAAAAAATAAAATAAAGAATTAAAGTAGAGAGGTTGTTGGAGTGTATAAAAAAATTACTCTTTAAATTTAAAGATGCTCTCTCTATTATGCAGGAGATACTATTTATAAATAGAGAGTTTTTTTAAGATGTTCTTAAAAAGTTAAATTAGAGGGTGTCTTAAAGCTCAATTTTAAGTTTGACTTTCTAAAATAGAGAGTATTTTGTGTTTAATGAGTCTTTTGAAAATACTCTTACAGTACTATATATATGGAAAATGAACTATTTCAACAGTGTATCGAATAACATTGTATTAGAATAAAATAATTCACCAATAGAGATGGATTTAGAGTGAATTTGACTAATTAACAAAAGAAAACATAAATTTACTTTTAAGTAAGTTATTAAGTTTTACGAAGATAATTATTAAGCTAAGTTAAAAACAATTAGGTAAAAGTTCAATTTAGAAAGAAGTAATTTTTATTTCAAAGTAAGAAAAGTAAGTTATCCAAAAATGTTGATAAATAAAAAGTAGCTTTATTTTTTAAAAATTAACTTTTTACTTAAAAGTAAGTTACGTATAAAGATTAAAAAAATTAATTAAAAGTAAAGTTAGTTTTTAAGCTTATTTTTAAAAATAAATAATATTTTTACTTAAAAGTAAAGAGGAAAGTAATTTACCAAAATTTTGTAGATAAAAAAAAAAATTATTTTATTTAAATGTACTTCTGAAAAAAACAACTTTTCTTTACATAAAAGTAAAAGAAGAGCAAGTTAGCCAAATGATTTGTTGATGAAAATTAGTTGAAAGTTATAAATTATTTTTTTGAACTTAAGAAATGGTTATAAATTTTTAATCTAGGAAAAAAAAAAAAAAGAACAAGGGTAAATATATTAAATGAATTAGTGCCATTAATGTCAATTTTCCAAGACAATATATCTTAGATCAAGGCCCTATATAATAAATGAAAGGGGAAATTTCATAAGTATGAATTTAAGTATCACACATTTCAAAATTAAGAAAATAAGTTTCAAACTTCAAAAATCAAATTTTTATCAAAATTTATTTATGATTTAATTAGTTAATTAATTATTTTATTACTTATATATATTTAGGTCACAGATCTATACAATTTGATTACAAATTAACAATTTAATTAATTACTTATTATTTTTTGATCACAATAAAAAATTTTATGTCACAAATTTTTCAATGATCACAATTCAAAAATTTTGTAGGTAACAGTTTGTTCATCGGTCACAAATCAAAAACATAATTTGGTACGGATTAATTTTTAATCACAACTTATCACAATATTGGTCACAACTTATTTTTCAATTACAAATTAAAATTTTTACAGATCAAATATTATTTTTCAGTCACGAATCAAAAATTTTATAGGCCACAGATTAATTTTTCGGTCACAACTTAATAAATTATAAGTCACAAACAATTTTTAGGTCATGTATTATTTATTTATCATAAAATTTTTATTGATCAGAATTCATTTATCAGTCACAAATTTTCAAAATAATTAGTCACAATTAATTTTACAATCACTAACTCAATAAATTATGAGTTACAATTACATTTTTTAGGTCAAATATTATTCATTTTTAGGTCACTAATTAATTAGTCACAGATTAATTTTTCGGTCACAACTTAATAAATTATAAGTCACAAACAATTTTTAGGTCATGTATTATTTATTTATCATAAAATTTTTATTGATCAGAATTCATTTATCAGTCACAAATTTTCAAAATAATTAGTCACAATTAATTTTACAATCACTAACTCAATAAATTATGAGTTACAATTACATTTTTTAGGTCAAATATTATTCATTTTTAGGTCACTAATTAATTAGTCACAGATTAATTTTTAGTCACAATTTATCAAATTATTAGTCGCAACTTATTTCTCGGTCACAAATCGAAAATTTTATAGATCACAAAAATACTTTTCAATCACGAATCTAAAAATTTTATAGGCCACAACTCATGAATTATTCATCGGCTACAGATTCAAAACTTTTATTGGTCACAATTCATTTATTCATTGGCCACAACTACCACCATGATCGCCACAACCACCGTCACAATCAACTCACAGTCACAATTTTCAGGTCACGGGTCCAATTACTTGTCACAAAATCTATTGAACCGTCATGACCACCACAACCACAACGAAAACCATCACTACAACTGCACCGCACCCACGGCCACACAACCACACCAGAAAAATCCCAAATCTGACACCGGACTGTACCACCACCGCCCATACCAACCACCACTGCCATCACCTCGGCTCAATCACAAAACAACCACTGACCACATAGTACCCACCGTCGCAACACACACATGTTTTTTCTCTATCGCCGACCATCACACAAAACAGAAAACCTTTCTCGCTGCCATACGACCTCCCGTTATAGCCGTTGCTGCAGATCTCAGCCAGATCGCTGCTGCTGTAGGTCACCGCCAGATCCCGTCGTTCACGGCTAGATCACTGCCA